CCCCAAAACCCCAAAACCCCAAAACCCCAAAACCCCTTTGAGAATTCTCGAGATTGAAATATTCATTTCTAATATGACTAATACAAAGTTTTGGGAAAATTATTAACAATAATGTTTATCAAGGAAGTTTCTAGCTAGTCATCAGCTTCATGAAAGACACTGAGCCAGTATAGATGAATAGTCATATCTAAGAGACTATCCACAAGGGATCTATGATTACTAGCACCAATATCCTTCTTAAGCCGAGGATGACTCCTTAATTCTTTGAGTTTTGGTAGATTTAGTTACCAAGAATCCTTCTTTTCTTCAAATTCTTCGTACATTGTGGCAGAGCTGTCCATTACTTCTGGTGAAGCAAAGGAGAAGTTCTTGAAGTATTCTTCACTAAAGGCTCCCTTCTTTTTGCTTTTCACAACTGTGTCTTCGATTCCTCCCTTGATATTATCTGTAGTGATGTTAGTAGAAAAGAACATAGATCAGGTCAGATTTCAATAAATCTTGTGCTAAGCTTACCTTGAAGGTGAAGTTCTTCTCTAGGTATGTACGGAGGTTCTATCTCTTTATTATATAACTTTTCCCAGTCAATTTCCTTAAAGAATGGGTGAGCTTTGATCTCATTGACGCCTCCGGCTCCTAACCGATGCTCAGGTTTCCTTACACAGAGTTTAGTGATTAAGTCATAAGCAGGTTTAGAGAGCAGTTCAGATTTGAAAGGTAGGTTATAATTGATTATATAGTACGGAATTCGCTTGTTTATCGAAGTAGGATGAGGTAGCTTGCCTGTCAACATCCTGTACAGGATAATTCCTAAGCTCCACCAGTCTATCGTGTATGTATACTTCTCCCCAGATATTGTCTCAGGAGCTATATACTTCATTGTTCCACAAATAGTATTATTTTTGATCCTGCTGGAAATTCGTTTTCGAGAGTCCGAAATCTGTAAGCTTTACATGGCCTTCACTATCGATAACTATGTTTTGAGGTTTAAGATCTCGGTATACAATCTCGTTATCATGGAGATGACCAAGGGCCAATACCATTTCAGCAGCATAGAACCTTGCTCTTTCCTCTGTGAAATGCTTTTCCTTCATAATATGACTGTAGATGTCACCACCACTTAATAAATCTAGGATAAAATAAGCCTTATCTTTTGTCTGAAAAGTGGAGTATAATTTGACAATAAATGGATGATCAAGATGCTGGATGATATCTTTCTCGATAAAGACTCTTTTGACATCTCTTTTACACTCCATTTCACACTTTTTCAGTACCTTCATGGCATACTTTTCCCCAGTCAGGCACCGGGAGACTAGGAAAACTTTGGCGTAGGAGCCTCTTCCGATTAGTTGGTGAATCTCGTATTCTATATCTCATGTTAAATCAGAAATTTAAGTGGAATATCAGTTAGAATATTGGCTTACTTGACAGATTCTCCTGAGTCGATTCACTAGTATCCATTGTATTCTGGGATAAATAATGCACTGACTTGAGTCCATCTTTGTCTCTATATCTCTGATAAGCAGGATGTCTTTAAAAGGCCAGATTTGTGAGAAATTACACTTACAGCATTTCCATTATTCCGGACATATTTTGTGAGGCTTCAGTTCTTTTCCTCATATTTATCTGAGCAGGTTCACATCAGTTGCCCATTTTTATAATTTTTATATGAATTTGAGATCAAATTTGGGCATTAAGTTTGGGGTTTTGGGGTTTTGGGGTTTTGGGGTTTTGGGGTTTTGGGG